CTGATGGACACCACGATTCGCTGTGACTGATGCTGGACTACCTGCCTGTGTCCTTTGCGATTGCCCCTAGCCCGGGATCTCTGGGGGTTCTTCAACCTCCTGCTTTACTCACATACACCCCAACCACCAGGGGCCTTTCCAAAGCATAAACACACACCGGTACCCAGTGACGCCGAAGAGCGCTGCCTTGTGCTTGGCCACATGCAAAAGCATCTCATAACTCCGCTTATGAGCTGACTCCAATGAAGACCCATGGGGAGGGACGACTGGAGAGTAAATATGCTCCCATGTGCTGAGATCATTATAGCTCACTACATCTGATTTTTTTTTTTTTTTTTTTGCGGTACGCGGGCCTCTCACTGTTGTGGCCTCCCCCGTTGCGGAGCACAGGCTCCGGACGCGCAGGCTCAACGGCCATGGCTCACGGGCCCAGCCGCTCCGCGGCATGTGGGATCTTCCCGGACCGGGACACGAACCCGTGTCCCCTGCATCGGCAGGCAGACTCTCAACCACTGCGCCACCAGGGAAGCCCTACATCTGATTTTTTTAATGCTGATTCCTTCTTTATTTACAATAACAAATTTGGTCAGAAACCAAGGTGGGCTCACCTAGAAAAAGCAGGGAGTAAATATCCAGAGATAAAGAATGATATGGAAAGAAGAGTCATTAACTTCATTTTGGTGACAAGAGATTGAAGGAAATAACGGGGACCTGTGAGCACTGTTGCTGTGAGCAAATGAAGGTCCCCATCTGCTAGCTGATTGAACAAGTAAAAATCATCAGCACCAACACTAAAATGACACCTACTATTGTTAGCACTATTCTAAGCACTCCATAGGTATGTATGTATTTCATCCTCAAAATACGTATAAAACAGGCGCCATTATTATCTTTTAAACATGAGTGAACTGAGGCACAAATAGTTAAGTAACTCGTCCACGGTAACACAGCTATTGCCTTCCGTGAACGCTCTATTTTCCTATGTTTAGGCATTATAGTCCATCCCTTACAAAAAGTTTAAAGTTTCCCGTACAACACTTCATCTAGTAAATGTCATCTCTTCAAACATCTCTATTTCTCGAAAAAGTACTGAAAGCATTCATAACCCTAAATATACTCGCTTAATTAGTTTAAAATATCACCATCTCAAAATAAATTTGATCTTATAGGTTCTTAGATTGCACTTATTTTATACCATACTGTGAGATTCAAAACAGAATTAGCTTTTACTCTTAAAATATCATTAATGCATCATCTTGAATATGGTAATCGATAAAAGAGATTCTGCAAGGAGGTAGGAACGTAAATGCATGTTAATTATTTCTAATGTCTTAATTAACTCCTACTGCTAATGATACAGTAATTAAGGTTTAAATATATTGTAGAGGATACATCAGTTTTCTATTGGGTCGTGTTTAAGCATTAAACATGATTAAACAGATTAATCATCACTAAAATCTCACAAAATGGGGAGATTTAGACCCGAATTCTCATTGAGATTAGAATTCTGTGTCTAAAACTAAGGTTTTAGACACAGTGCAACATGGTTTCCTCACACACACCTGCTTCCTGGTTAGCTCTTCTTCTCCTTCTCTGTCCCCATGTCCCTCTGAGCACCCAGAGGTACGTCATGGCAATAATCACTTCTGAAAGTGGTTTAGTATATGCATCAAGCACCACTGATGAAGTCAAACTCCCATACATTTTTTTAACCTTCTTGATTTCTGAGCCCTGGGAGGGAAGTGATGGTGATGCCTGTTGACTGACCTGGACCTGATGAGGACCAAATGTAAAGACCAGAGTAGGTAGAGAGTGCCATTTTAGAAGCTATCTCCTATTGTGGATTAAAGAGGTCCACTCCCTTTAAAGAAGGGCAGACTCCAGCGGTGGAGTCTATTTTTCCTTCTCTTTAATCTGGTTGATCCTGTGACTTGCTTCAATCAAGGGAGTGCAGCAGACATAAAGGCATGTCACTTCCAAGGCTGGGCCTTAAGAGATCTGCAACTTCCTCTTTTATGCTCCTGGAACCCAATCATCACGGCTGTGAGCCATCCAAATCACATGGAAAGAGAAGTGAGTAACCAGCTGACAGCCCCAACTGAGCTTCCAACCAACAGCCAGCACAAACAGCAAGTCAAATGAGTGAGCCACCTTGCATGTTCCCATCCAGTCAAAACTCTGAATGATGCCGCATGTGGACAGCAACCTCCCAATTGATCTCAGTCAACCCGCAGACTCTTAAGAGATAATACATGATGGTTGTTGTTTAAACCACTAAGTATATGAGGTAGTTTGACTATACAGCAATAGATAGTCAAAGCCTTTCTAGACCCTCAAAGAGACTCAGGCTGAAACCAGTTCCTGCTTGACTTAGCATAACACAGGATTAGTCGTGGTGGACCCAGACACATCAGGATGGCTACAAGGAAGTTGAAAAGAACACTTTCCAGTGGGGGCACAGTGGCTAAGACCATGAACCTCGGAGCCAGACTGTTTGAATCCTGGCTTTGCCTTTTACTAGATATGCACCTAGTAGAGGTTATTTAACTGTTCTGTGCCTCAGTTTGCCTCCATATAAAATAGAGATAATAATATTCTCTACCTCATAGGTTTATTTTGAAGACTAAATATCAGTATCACTATGTGTAAAGCACTTAGAACAGTGCCTGGCACAAAGTAAGTGTTCGGTAAATGTTTATTATTCTCTTGAACGTCCAAGGAACCACCCACTCACAGCTCTGGGAGGGCTCTATACTTAGAACAAAGGGATATGGAAAGTGAAGGGGAGGGTCATAACATGGTTCCTGTTTGATCCTGTGCCATGAGGAAACGGATCTCTGCCATGCCATAAAAGCACGAATATGATAAATGCTAAATCTGATTAGCCTCACACCAGCAAGGGAGAAACCCAAAAATCAGAGTAAATGCTCAGTTTCTGGGTCATCAGTAATAGAAATGTCAGACAATCAGTCACATTTTATCTGAGAATAAACTACTCCTAGGTATAATAATCCACACTTTGGATTTTATAACTGATTTCTGTTCATTAAGTGTCCTGAGCTTTATAAACGTATAATGCAGTCCTGGTAAGTTATGTTCTCAGGCATGATCTGAACTACCATCATCATACTCATATCAGTTCTGTTTCTAAATACTATTTTGCAGTTCACTGCAACAAACAGATCAGGCTACCGATTACAGCAGTTTTTGCATATGTCATAATAAAATTAATCTTAAATGTATTAGTAATACCAGGTTAGTTTTTGGCTTTTGGTTGCTTTTTGTTTTCTTTTGATTTTTTGGTCATATCATATACACACCTCGGGAACTGTTTTTGTTAAAATGATTATTGATTTTTTTTAAATGAAGCAAAATACAGTAATAACTCATTTTGCTATAGGATTAGAATTAGTAACTAGTATTTTTTGCCCCAACCCTTTGTCTCTTCTCTATTTTAAAATTATATCAAGGACCTATTTATATTTACTTCAGAAGTAACCAGCCCAGGTGAATTAATGCCTTGTGGCCGTAAGTTAAAGTTTTTGAAATATTTAGCCACCTTGAACATCTGACCATAGCACTTCTCATGGGACTTTTCACTGGAGCCTCAAAGCTCTCCATTTCTCATCTCCACATACTCTGTTCATAAAATTATTGCAGATTCAATTATACTACTCATATCCTGGTATTTGGACACGTGTCCCTCTGTTTTTCAAGAGAACTATGATGGATCAATAAATTGATACCAAGTAGTTCAATCAATGCAGTTCTGAGAAAATATGTCAGGTTTGTGCCTATCTTCACCATGATAACATCATTCATCCACATTAGTTATTCATCTTCTTTCCAAATTATTTATAAGCCTGAGATCAGCTTGAGAAAATTCATACTTTCATTTCATACCTGCTAGTCATGCCTTAAATGGTGACTATCAGAGATGCAAAGTAATTGCAACTATATGAAGGATGCACAAACTAAAAACTATGAAATTTAAATTATTAATTCAGCATCCAGATTCCTTCTGCAATCACTAACAATTTCACCTGTTTTATTGCTCAATGCAAACTAAATTTGGTAATATAAATAGAAATAGAGAACACTAGACCTTATCACTGTTTCCCTCCTAACTTTAAGTCCCTCTTCCTTTTCCTTCCATTATCTCCTTCGTCTCTGTGTTTTGAACCTACTCTTTTATGTCTGCTGAACTTCAGTCCCATGTCATTGTCAGATCTCATCAACTACTATTCTGCTTTAATCTAAGATGTCATTCTTAATATTATTTTACATCCCACCAGTCTATTCCAAGAACCTGAATCCGTTCCACTATACCAAAAAAAACCAAAAGCCTATTTTTCCATGGGCTTTTGTCGGGTTATGGGCATTATGTTATTATGTGATTATGCACTAAAAGTTTTAAGAATATATACAATTTCGGTAGTATTATTGAGAGTAACTGTTGGGAATACTTCTGCATCCACTATGTAGCTGAACAGAGCAATGAATGAAAGTAGGCAAAATGTAACTGTGAAAAAAACTCATATGAAAAAGAAAGCTTGGTTAAGTAAAAAGACTGTTCAGATTAGAACTAATAGGTTCAACCAAAGTTTTCAGACTAGTAAAGTTTTGCTTTACGTGCATCTATTTTCTGTAAATGGAGCCCGTTTAGAGTTTCAATGCTTAAATTAACAAAATAATTTGTGTAACGTTTCTAATGAATAAAATTGAGTTAATTGAGTGTAAGACATTTGTACCAACTTGCCCTTCTAGAAACAAGGATGGGTATAATTTCATCAATAAACAACAAATAAAGGAGAACATTTGAATAAAAATGGCTTTTGAGTTTCTCAGATAAAAATGTCACAGATTTCTCAAAGCACATCTCTACAAATTCTAAATCTTGGTTTTAGTGTGATTTGCATAAAATGTCTTAAGTAGCATATGCAAATATTCTCATGTCTAGCAACATTATTTCAGGGGGAAAAAATGTCACAAATGTCTACCTGGCAAGGTTGCTTCATTTTAATGGCTATGACATGGTATCTGTAACAGCAGAGTTCACAGGTCCAGGAACCCCTCTCACTGATCCACTTCAGCAAGCAAAGCTGATGTGTATACCGAACGGACCCGTCACATCGGCAGGGGTTTAACAGCTCCCCCTGGAAAGAAAACAACTCAGTATGAATATATATTGTGTCTCTATTTTAAAAATCCAACAGTTGCTTTCTTTTCTTTCAAAGCCATTTACCCAGAAGGATACAAGCATCAAACTCTATCCTAGAAAATGAAATTAAATGTTCATACCTCTGGTGGGAATGCAACTAAAGTCTTAAAACTATTTCAAAGATATTACTTAGAGTTATGACATAAATGTTCTACCAACATACGAAATATCTGCAGGATACAGCTCCCAATACCCTAGGGGAAAAGCTGTACTATTAAATCTCTTTAATAACTTTTAAGTGGACGGTCAGATGCAATTCCTCTGCAGTTATTCTTAATCATTGCTAAAGAAGAAATGCATGCCATCCCAGAAAGTAGCTTGCAATAGCATTATGCTTTTATTTTTTCTAACTGTGGCATCATAAATATTGACTTAGGGGACTATATTCCTGAAAGCCTTCATATTCTTATGCAATTTCCTTACTTTGAAAAATATTAAACCTAATGTTTTCTCAGACCACACATTTTGTAAGAGAGATGTATTATCCCTGTTGTCTTCGTGATTACTCGCATGTAAGTTTGCATGCACCTCTAATGGAGTTTATAATTTTAGAATTGTGTTTCTTTCTTTCACAAGGTCAAAGTAGTTTTAGTTCTCTTATGAAAACTCTAACATGCTTTTCACCTCAGTGATATTGAGTCACCAAAATGGGCAATAAGGAAAGACCCTGCCCTTTTTGGTTTTGACATGACTCACCCCCTGTTTGTCCTCTAAGACTATCTGCCTCACGATACACCTGTAGAAAAGGAATACAGGTTTGTCTCTATGTATAAACCAGACCCATCAAGGAATTCACACAAGAGATACTTATGGCATTAACACTAAAACACCTGAGGAATGTGTAACTGCAAAACCAGGTAGAAAAAATCAAGTGTAGCCCAAAGCAAACACTATTCGCCACCGGGACAATTGTATCTGCTTTCACAGGAAAGGAAAAGGGAACGCGCAGGAGCCGCCAGGCAACCGCTCAGCCCAGGAACCCAGAGGCGGGCGCTGTCCGTGGTGCTGACAGGGCGCCGTCGAGAGCGGGAGCCAGCCCAGTCCTGCCGGACCCCACAGCAAGCTGCGCCCGGGGCCCGCCGGGCCTTACCTGCTCGGCGCCCTGGAAGCAGATCTTGCAGATGGGCTGGTGGTGCTGGTGCTGGTGCCCGGAGCGCCGGTCGTCGCCGCCGCCGCTGCTGCTGCTGCGGCTGCTGCATACCGAGCGCGTCTCGGGCCGGTCGCTGGAGACCCGCCGCTCTCCCTCCCCACCCGCGCGGACCTCCGGCTCCCCGGGGCCCTCCTTCCCCGCCGCCGCCTCCGGGACCGTCGTCTCCGGAAGGCGCCTCGGACCTGCCCCGGAGTCGCCTGCCGCGGCCACCTCCTGCCCTGCCGGCGGCAGCTCCTCCGCGCCGCTGCGCCGCGGGACCACCTCCGCTGGCGACTCGTCTGGCCCCGCGGGGCGCTCGGGGGACGCGGGCGGCGCGGGCAGCGGTGGCAGGTAACGCGGGGGCGCGGGGACCGAGGCTGGCTCTCCTGGCGACGGCGGCGGAGGCGACGGGGGCGGCTCGGCGTCCCCGCTCTCCTCCCCGCGGCGCCGACTGCCGCTGGGGCCGCCCTCAAAGCTCATGGTGGTGGGGCCACCGCCGCCGCCCTCCTGCCAGCCCGGCTAGCGCCCCCGGCTCGGGCTGCAGGCGAAGGGAGAAAGGAGGGGGGAGGAAGAAAGGAGGGAGGAAAGCGGGGCGGGAGGAGGGTGGGGACGGAGCCTGGGGCGCCAGGGGCCGAGGGGCGGGACGGGGAGGGGACGCAGAGGGCCCGGCTGCGACGGCGGCGGCTGCTCCGCGGAACCGCGGGCTCGGCTCTGATAGAGGCGGTGCCGAATTCCGCGGCGCGTGAGAGCCGGGCCGCTGGGGGGCGGGGGGGGGGGGGGGGGCGGGGGCCGGGGAAACCCGGGGGGGGGGGGGGAGCGGCGCAGCAGAGGGGATGGGCCGGGGGGAGGTATTTGGAGGGAACTGGAGCGGGGCGGTAGGTGTGGAGGAGCGGAGGGTCGTTCCCGGGAATGGGGATGTGGAGGGCCGGGTGCGAACCCCGGGGGAGGTGCGGAGACCGCGGGCCGGCATTGGGGGCGTGGGGGAAATCCCTCAGCCGCCTCCGCCGACCCCGCCCCAGGGCCGCTCACGTGTGTTCCGGGGCGGATTACCCCTCCCCAAGCCGCGCGGCGCTGCAGCTCTTGTGAGCGGGGGCGGGGGGGAGGGGTGGAGGAGAGGGGGAAGGGTCGGAGGCCACGGGTCCAGAAGCCGTTACTGGATGGGCGAGTGGGATTCCGCGGCGCGGGGCTGGAAGGGGCCGGGATGATCGAACGCGAGACTCGCGAGGGCAAAGGGGGTCGCGAGACTGACGCCGCGGGCGTGCCCGAGCCGGCTAAGCAGGGGTCGAGGGGAAGGTCGCGTGGGCCCCGAGGACTAACGGACGCTCCCAGGAGACCGCGTCCAGCCCTGTGCGCCCTCTCCCTCAAAGGTACTCTCACCGACCTTCCAGAGCCCCCAAAACAGACGCCTCTGGAACCTGCATCCTCCCTCTGCCCTCCTCGCCCTCTCCCTCCTGCAGGGAGTATCTGGGTTTATTTGAAACCGTTCTGGTGACTTTGTAAATATCGTTTCCTGCAGTGGTTGCTCCTAGTGAACCCTGGTGCCACGTTCTGTGGCGGGCGTGCTCTTCCACCCTTGCGGTGGGAGAAAGGACTCAAAGGACACCTCTCGTGCAGAAGTTGCTGCAACCGCGGATTTAGGTTGTATGCACCCCGAAGCCAGCTGGTTTCTCTATAGTTAACTCCACTCCGCGAAACCTCTCTGGGACTTATCTTCCGGCAGGGCAACAGTGCCCTCAATTCTTTTCTGAAAATAAACTACCTTACCTGCAGGAAAGTAGACGGAAAACAGTGCACAGGCAGTAGTTTCTAAATTCGAACAGTGTACACGCATAAAGCAATAGATTTATATATAGTGCAATGTGTCTAGTCAAAGCCTTGGTGATTTTCACTAGTGTAACCCTTTGATGTCTTTGACGCAACCGACTTGCTCTTACGGCAGTCATTTTTGGCTGCATAGAGCCGGGATCAGATAGGCAAAGCAACTTGTTCAAGGTCACAGAACTGTTAACGAAGAACTTTTGAGCTCCCTGACTCCAGATTTTCCGGCTCAAACACTGAATGATTTTTTTTTCCCTCAATTCTCCTGCCTCCTAAAACAATATGTAATACATGGTGCGTTTGGTGGCACTGACTCCCATTAATAGTTAGATGGTTTTTTTTTTTTTTTTTTTTTTGCGTTACACGGGCCTGTCAGTGTTGTGGCCTCACCCGTCGCGGAGCACAGGCTCCGGACGCGCAAGTCCAGCGGCCTTGGCTCACGGGCCCAGCCGCTCCGCGGCATGTGGGATCTTCGCGGACCGGGGCAGAAACCTGCGTCCCCTGCATCGGCAGGCGGGCTCTCAACCACTGCGCCACCAGGGAAGCCCTAGTTAGTTGTTCTTAAATGGTTAAGATAAACTACCAGCTTAAATTAATTTTTCCAGTATACATTTTGGCAGTAAGAAGTATATTTGGTTTAAAAAAAAAAGGTCCAGCTCTTTTGACAGAAATTGGTCTGGTTGGAAAGCAGAGAAGGAGGTAGTAAAAAAAAAGTCAAGAATGCTTTGTTACAAATGGTCCCAGATGAAATAGTTCCCAGAAATGTCCTCTAACACTTAGCACCCTCAGACTGACTTAGTTTTGGTGGCGGGATGGCAAGCAGCAAGCACATTTTGTTAGAAATCATAATCCCTGAACGCCCTAGGAACTTATCACACTGAAGAAATGTGGTTGTAGATAATGCTTTCATTTTCAGTCTTCACCTGTCAAAATGACATTGCACAAGATTGTGTATTGCCACAGTCATAAGATAATCCTAAGCCTTGATTCTAAATTCTTGAATTAAATGGAGTCTAAATTCAATTTATGACTAATACATTTCTACCAAGTATGATAAAGTACATTATTATTTGAAGGACAGCATAAAAGCTGTGGGTTCTGGATAAACAATGCACAGTGACTCAGGCAGCAAAGTAACATGGATGGAAGAGGAGAAGGCCACAATGCTAGATGTATCCTCTCAGTTGATTGTTGGAAAATAACTCTGGTAAGAGAAGATTAACCTTCCTTGATATGGTGAGTAGCCACATAGAAACATTATTTCCTAGCATCTGTGACCTCCAAAGCTGACCTCTCCATGAAAAACGGAAACTTGTTCATGATCTTCAGTTAACTCAGTGAGTCTTCAATGGATCAAGGAAAAATACCTTTGTAACTTTGATTGCATCCTCTGCCATAAAAATATAGAACAATGGGGAACACAAAAGGATGAACCACTCTCAGCTGCTGGGACCCAAGTAGAAGAGCTGCTAGAGAGACACAGACATCGCATAAAGAACAACAGGGCACCCACAGCTGCTGACAGCCATCCAATAGCCAACATGGCTCCACCAACTAAAAAATGGATGAAGGGAGAGGCAATTCTATCAATCTGAGCAAATAGTGAAAGGCACATCCAACCTGCTTCAACCTATATAAATGAAGAGAGAGATATAAATACAACAAATGCTTGAAAAGTCTCCATTCTCATGTTTCTCCCTACCCACGCACCCATACATGCAGAGAGTTAAATATACCCTTTACCAGAAGAGGTCTTTCATTATGAACATGCAAACTCTTTAGACACCAGGAATCTCTTGAGTTGAATCCAAGGATGGAGGGGAGGTGGGAGGGTCCCAGGCAAGTATGTCCCAAAAATTTCTTTGGTGATATTAATGGATATCTGTAGGATATTCTCCTTGAACTTCCCAAGTGACCATGTCCTGAAGGTGTCCCCTGAAGTCACCTCAGGGATATTAGGTAGAAAAGAGTCCAGGCTACACTAGGTCAGAGTTGTTTCAGAATGACTTTGAAGCTACATTAGTTGTGATGACCTTGATGTGTCCTCCAATAGGAGAGTTAGCCTGAAGAGCTCTTTAAAATTGCCTTTAAGATGAACCTAGAGATTATCATACTAAGTGAAGTAAGTCAGACAGAGACAAATATTACATGACATCACTTACATGTGGAATCTTAAAAAAAAAAGATACAAATGAGTTTATTTCCAAAGCAGAAATAGACTCACAGACATAGAAAGCAAACTTATGGTTACCAAAAGGAAAGGGGGGGGGTAAGAAGGGGTAAATTAGGAGTTTAGAATTAACAGATACAAAGTACTATATATAAAATAGATAAACAACAAGAACCTACTGTATAGCACAGGGAACTATATTCAACTATCTTGTAATAATGGAAAAGAATCTGAAAAAGAATGTATATATACATATATATATCTGAATCACTTTGCTGTACACCTGAAACTTTGTAAACCAAGTATAGTTTCAGTAAAAAATTAAAATTAAAAAATGGTCTTTCAATTCTTTTTAAGTTTAGCTTTTAGAGATATTCCAAAATTTTTCACTTGGCACCTTTGGGGTGCATTTATTTGTCTCTGTGGTCACTGAGTACAGAACAGAGAATTCTCAACTGTCTTCAAATACCCGAGAGAAAAGAACTTGAGAACTCCAAGTATGTTATAGAGCAATAAGGTTATGTTGTGTGAGTGGGAGGGTAATTTTTAAAGAGGACAGTGAAGTGTGATCTGTGGATTGCGAGCACTTGGTGCAGAGTATAGCTTTGTCATACACCAGAAACGAAGCAGTGTCAGCCCAATGCCATATACAGAAAAGTCCACAATTTATGTCTCCTATTCTAACCTGTTGATTGAATTCCAGCCTTCTGTGTCAAGTCGCCTCTATGACTGCTCTGCTTAGATACCTAAGAGCTATTCTAAACTAACCCAGTCCAAAAGCACACAACACTCTCAAACCTGCTCATTTCCCAGTCTTCGTCATGCCGGTAAACCAGTTGTTCACTCATCCAGTTACTTAAGCCTTGGAGTCGTCCCTTGACTTTAATTGTTCACGTCATATATTCAGTGTATCACAAAATTATTTCGCATGTACCTTCAAAATACACTTCAAATTTCACTACTATATTTCACCTCCACTCCCGCCATCCCAGTTCAAATCAACGTGATGCCCCAGGATCATCAAAATAGCCTCCTGTCACCCTGCTTCTTATTCTTGAATCTGTCCCCAACAGCAGCCTGGATAATCCTATTCAAATGTAAGTCCAGTCATGTCATCCCACTGCTTGGTACCCACCAGTGGCTCCCCAACACAGTTGGTGCAATGTCAAAAATCTTAGCCTGCCCTACCAATCCTCAGTCTAGCTCCTGGCTACATCTCTGAAGCTATCAATCTCCATATCCTCTTCACCACCCTCTCCCGGTCAGTCCCTATTATTCATTCCTACTCCACTGACTTCCTTGCTACTCCCCAAGTACATTCCCTCCTCACTCCTCCAGTTATCATGGCTCACTCCTTCACTCCTCTCATCTTGCTCAGAGACACTTCATCCAAAAGAACTTCCTCAACGTTCCTAACTGAAATAGAATCCTCCACTCCCATTTTTTTTAACTCTAACCTTTGCCCAGTTTTACTTTTTCATATCCATTTACTATTCAACATTATATATTGATATTTACATATTGTGTGCATTTCTTTTGCTTTTTTTATTTTTTCTCATCTAATATCTTCCACTGGAACACTGGCTCCATTGGAGACTATTTTGTTCACTGCTCTGTCCTTACCGTGCCTAGAACTGTGCCTGGTCAGAGTAGTACTCAGCCAATACTTAGAGAACCATTATATAAGAATTCAAGCAATCAAGCAGGTAATTATTAATCAGC